AGAATTTTGAATAGTTAATTATTTTCGTAAAGGGAAATTGAAATTATTCTTTTTTCTGATTTCCCAACAAGGCATGGCAGTGACTAACATCCTCAAGACGACGAAAGTAAGCGATGCCTTCCAATGTCTGACCGACTGCCTGTCACACCCAGCTTGTCAATCAATCAACTTCCAGTCAAAGGGTAATCCCATCCACCTCTGCGAGCTGAGTGAAAACATCCTGCCCAGTTCTTTGTGCCTGAAGAAAAGGCCTGGCTATGACTACTACTATCCAATGCAGGTAAATAATTCGTACATCCATCTATAGTCATTTCATAAAGCTCATCAGATATGAACGATTACGTTATCAGCACTGGTGCACAAAGATTTTGTCACATTTTCTAAATGTAAGGAGGAAAATTAAGAGCCATAACCAGGGACATTTACCTGAGGGTGCACAATKTTAACTATGCAATCAGATATAGGTCACAAATGATACATCCCGAAAACCAGGCGAAAGTGCTACAAGGAAACGTCATGCATTTGTAGTCATTTTAATCACGTTCAAAGACTCATATTCTCGAATCGATGTTCTTAGTCTCCTTCGCAGCCTCCCCTTTTGTCGGGCTTCCTGTCCCTCCAACAGGAAGCCCGACAAAACGGGAGGCTGCGAAGGAGACTAAGTTCCTAGAAGTCCATGAATTTTACTCAAAATAGGTTGGTGCTTGTCAAATTTGCTCGGACCTTTTTTTCCACGGGGAGTTGCACGTCCACCCTGTGCTCCCCCCTTGATCCACGTGTACCATGTGCTCCCCCCTTGATTACGGCCTTGTCCATTATGAATATCAATCGTTTATTATAGAATTCAGATTCGCCYCCACCTTGTAATAGAACGTGTAAGAATGGTGGAATATGCAAACACAGGGATTGTGCGCCGGGTACCATATGCCAATGTGGGAAGTTCAACAATAAAGAACAGTGTGACAGTTGGACGATCGGTGAGTAAACTAATTGATTGATAAGGATTTAATTATCAGGATAATTTGAATGCTAACCTTCTTGTTGTATAAACAATTTAGCGTTCACAGATGTTTCATGTCAACAAAAATGGCCTGAATATCATTTTAATGTCTTTCAATCATTTCTATTTGATCATTTCTTCTTCATATCACTTCTTGACTTCCTGGTTACCGGTGTACAGTTAACTCTCGCCTTGCCGACACCCCGCTACAACGGACACCTCTACATTGCGGACAGTAAAATACTGAATTCCCGGCGAAAAATTAAAAGAAATGACTGAAAGTAACTCTCGTTAGTACGGATTCTCGCTACTGCAGACACTAAATTACGGTCCCGAAGTTGTCCGTAATAGCGAGAGTTGACAGTGTATATGCCGTAGTCTGGAAACCTTTATATCTTCATTATTTTGATGATGATGATTTATTTTTTAGGAATATCGTCTTGCAAAGACATATACAGCAAAACGAGGTAGTTWAAGTACAGCAATCATTCAAAGTTAAACTAGGAGCTGCGTTCTCTACTCGTAACTAGACATCGCAAGAGTTACATCACTGAGTTATTATTGGGCCTTTTGGGCCGGCAAACACATTGCGACATAAGCATAAATGTTCCAAAAATAATTAGGGATTAAGAGGGAGTTGTTTTTCGTTGTATACGATTCTTTTGTCTTTTTAAACTACTATCTTATGCAAAATAAACGGAACATCCTGCCCCCTTTCCCCACTGCAAGGTTGTACACACTTTCCTTTCGCCTTCTTGTCTATTTCGTAGCAATTCATTGGCGAGCAACATTGTAAAACGAGAGGGGAGGTTGCAGTAGCACAATCACAAACAGTGCTTCACAAAAGTTTGCAAAAGATTGTAGCTTTTTTTCTTATGTTAATTGCTTTGCTTATGTGGGTGCACATTTTTTTCATTCCTGCCTTTTCTTTCGTTCTCTCRGCCTGCTTCCGCTGATGTTTTAGTGCAAGACTTTTGCATTTAAAAAATTAAGGCGCTCATTAAGAGAAACGTTAAGCATCCCAACATAATTTATATCTTGACTGAACTAATAGTGATTTCTATCTGTCTAAAGCTACCGTAAAAACCAGGCGTATACCTTCAACATTGAAAACAAACCCACGGACATCTACTGTCACTTGACAGATGAAATCTGTGGTGGTGGGGGATGGACGCTGGCCATGAAAATCAACTGTTTAAAATCGGTTAGTCAGATAATGAATCATTCATAATCAAGAATTATATGATTTGTTGGATAGAAACTTCATCTTTGTTATAAAATCTATAGGCACAGTTCAGCTACTCTTCGGTGCTGTGGTCCAACAAGCAACCCTACAATCTAACAGCCGGCCAAACMGGTTTTGATAACTACCAAACCAAGATGCCAAGTTACTGGGCCATGCCTTTCGACAAACTATGTGTTGGATTTAAAGACAATAATGTCYTTAAATGGATTGTTATCCCATATAAGGCTTCGTCTCTGTATGACGTCATTGCTGATGGAAGATATCGATCTACCAGCATTGGTAGGGCCACGTGGCTGTCTCTGATTAGTGGAGCCTCGCTGCARCCAWATTGTAACCGGGAAGGTTTTAACCATGGTGYTCAMTCGCAATACAGAATAGGCATTATAGGTAATAATGAGAATGACTGTCTTACACCTGACACTGTTCTTGGATTTGGAATCAGTCGACAAGGCTCTTGCGGTAATCCAGGCTATAAGATTCCTCAGTTTGGATACGTTATGATTCATTGAGTTGTAGCACATCTAKAGTGCTTTTCGGCATGCGATTTTCTAAAAAAGGGCCTTCGCCAGCCGGCATGCATTGCGCTCGTTGCTTAAATGGCCGATTTTTTCTGTGTGAGAAATTCGAGTTGATGTCCATGAATACCCATTGACAATTCAGTTTCGTTGATTTAGTAAAGAGAAAATCATGATCAAGCAATGTTTGATCTTCACTGAGATGAAAAAAGTCAGTTTTTCGWTATTTTTATAGTATCWAAACCCTAGGAATAGCTCGTAAGGGATGCCAGTTGTCGATGGCCTTGTAATTTCCCATAACATTAAAATAGTTCAAACTAATATCAGGTAACAACATGCATCTTAATTACTTACGAAACTAGTTCAAGGCAATATTTCAATTAAAAAGCCAGAAAATCAGTGTGTAAAACAGAAGTAAAAGAAGATGAGCTACAATCCTGGTCAAAAAGGTTGAGAATAACTGCACCCTTCAGGTCAGTTCAACAAAACATCCCCTCTAACCCCTCCCMTCCCCCAAAACCGTGTTGTTAGCACTCAAACAGAATCCAGCAGGTATGTGTGCTTTCTAAAACACAACTTTGAGCGAAGGGGGACGGGGTGAGGGTAGAAAAAATTAGAAAGTATACGGAGACATTCCAACATTCAGCGATTTTTAAACCATTCTCAAGTCTTGTCGTCCATAATTGTAAGTTGAAAGGMGTATGATCTGGAATATGACAATCCCTATAACTCAGTAGTTTCTTCCCTCCTGCTGCACACACTTCTCACTTCAGTTAATCATCCTTTAGATTCGAAGAGAACTAGATTTGTACCCAGTTTACTTTTCATACTTATTTCCGTTGAGATCCCGTTTGCCTAGTTTTAATACATTCGTTTGAATCGTCTGTACTTTGTCTTTTGTATTGTCATCAACTCTCTTGTGGGAGCCCTGGACGATTCTGATACACATGGAAACCGGAAAAGAAATTGCGGATACAAAGACTTCCGGCAACGTGTGTACAAAAGCTATTCAAAAATAGAATCGCTCGTGCGTCAATAATATTGCTATTACTCATTCGAGCGTTGCACTCGCTTTATCAAACTTACACAAGAAATCAAATAAAAAATATCTTAAGGAACGAAAGATAAAGAATATTACTACTGGATTTGGAACAATAGAAAAGGTAGACGTAAATGAAAATGAAAATTGAGAAAAGAATGAAAGTATGATATTGCTTGATATTGGAATACGTTCGCAACGCCATCAGATATGAATACAATTATATCAATATTCTCTCTTRCCGCATTCCCTCGTGTTGAAATCACTGATGGATAAAAGCCAAGTCTCAACATTTTGAAGYTCAGCGCGACCCTGGGTCGCACGCATACTGACACGATYGAGCTCAAATGACAGAAATTCACTGTTGATTCGCAGTCCTCGTGTACGTAGGAATCTAGCCCCGTGTATATACTTGACAAAAATGACAGCCAGAGCTTTAATTGCTTCACTAACAATTCATTACCTTGCTTTCTCGATGGCTTTAGACTACTCAATCGTGCTATTGAGCATCGAAGAGCTATGGATGGCACTTGGTGGAAACTTGGCGTTATATGGCTTTGTTTTTGGGATTTACGCTTTTAGCCAAGCTATAATCACGCCAATACTTGGCTATATCTCGGATTTACGTGGCTTAAAATTCACTTTGATTCTTTCAATGGCTGTGAACGCTCTTGGGAATCTTTTATATGGATTTTCATTTATCTTGAACTCAGTGAACATGATTTTAGTGGGTAGATTCGTCTCTGGGTTAGGTGCTGGTGCTGTRGCWYTAGGAGTCGTTTACYTAACCAATGTCACATCGCGAGAAATGCGTGGAAAGTCAATAGCTTGCTTCAAACTCTCTCAAGCTCTTGGGTTCTTTGGTGGACCAGTCATTGGGTTAGCGTTTACRACTTTAAAGSCKCCTAAATCCACGTCAAACTCGACAACAAAAACGTTCAATTTGTACACTCTACCARCATGGGTTGCCTTGGCCAACGTGGTAGTGCTAGTCGTGCCAGCCGTCAAGTACTGCTTTAAAAATCCGCTCGCTCCTCACATGGCTTTAAGATATAACCATAAAGAGGCCAAAGAACTCATCTTCCACACTKCTGTGTTCATGCCTTTGTTATTTATCGCTTCTTTGTGCTACTGGTTGGTCACGAGCGACATATTTACACTAGCGTTTGGACAGTATCATTTGGTGAGGTCAAACGAAGACTTATGGAAAGTTTACGTATCTGGTGGTTCGACTTTGGTAGTTGCGTGTATAATTATAAGGTTAACAATTCATCGTCTAGAGAAGAACACTCCTATTGTTTTTACAATTCTTGGGCTTATATTTTCTGTAATTGGCTTTGGTCTTCTCGGCGATTTTAATTTGAAGAAAAATATAAGCACAGTGTTCTACTACGGAGCCGTGGGGATGATCACTTCCGGTGGCGCTCTGTTCTTTACGGGAGCTGGTACGTACTATTCACGTAAAGTAACGGATCTAAGTCATCAAGCACGTAACAGACGCGGATTATACCTYGGTTTATTTACGTTTTCAGAGAGTTTTGGTCGTTTTCTAGGCCCTACATTGTCATCAATTGTCGTYTATATCAAGGAAAACACAAGTTTCAAAACATTACATAAATGTGACCTCATCAATCTCATCCCAGACGGCTGTCACGCAAGTAATATTAACGTAACACTAATCGTACTGTGTTGCGTGATGGTAGTTTTAACCGTATGCTTTTTGTGGTATCACCGACGATATGGAAAATGYCAAGTTGATGTTTCGCTATTGAGTCTGGAGGAGCTGCCCATGCCTCAGCCTGGGGAGGAGTTCCATGGCAGAGAGATTAGCATGAGCAGACAAGGTAAGCTGGAGCTTAACCTCGACATGGATCGATCTCGATCAAGTACTGGCGATTTATCRATAGCATCGACAAAAAGTGAACACAGTAACTCTATCAATAATAACATTTTATAGTATACGGCCCGTCTACAGTCTGTTACAGTTGCGCCTTTAAATTTAGAGTAAGGGAATAAGAAAAATTTAAAAACAAAACGATTAAGCCGTTCAATGTCGTGTAAAATATAACTACCTATCACACTAAATTACTACGGGTTAATAGCCTGTGATCCAATTAAATAGGCGATATCTCAAGGGCTTTCAAAATATCTGAGGYGTGCTCATAATTCAAGTTAATTTAGGTCACTATTCCGATGCYCGCTTATATTTTTTTACCTAAATACCTTATTTCTATGCTCACGCCTACGATGCTTTGTTTTCAGTGAAAGCGCCCGCACATTTCGATTTGATGCGACATTGAGAATAAATAAAATGCAAACTTTGTAAAAATGGAGGAATATATGCTACGAATTATCAACAATTCTTGACTAAAACAAGCTGATGTGGATAGTTAAAATATTTTATAAAATGAACACACGATATGTTAAATATAAGAATAAATACAGTGAATCACGAAATTATTATTGTCATTTATAGATTTTTGCTTTAAAATCTTCTCGCTCAGTCTACTTTTTCGGTTTCACTCTTAAAGGTATAAAAATTATTCACCATCACGTGACAGTGATTAAGTGTTCGGAAGAATTCTGTACCATTTTCGATGATGAAAAGTATGATGAGCTGATGTTTCAAGCCAAAGGCAAAACATGTCAATGATTTAATTTATGAACACAAACTACAGTCAAATGAACTACTCGAGCAAAAGTAACTTACGCACAATTTTCCAGTGAACGCACTTGCTGTATMATGTTTTGGCGATCCTTTTTGCTTTTAGTAAACTATGACTATCTAAATCCTTACCCGTTTGAAATTGTTATCTGATATTTCACCAAAAAGGTTTTTCTTGGTATAATCAAGTTTTCTGGTCTCAAGGAATAAAAATAGTCGTCAACCACCTTTTTTTTTTGAAAAAAAGAGTTGTGAAAGTGACAAGATCTCGACGACGCATAAGATTGATCCTCGCTGTTAGTGTCTCAGTTCGCTATCATACGATAAATTTTGCACAGTGCTATAGGCTATATCGTAAATTTAACAAAAGTTTTTATTTTTTTTTTTGCGTTTTGAACTTTTAAAAAAGATTTCTTATACCGGGCAAAAAGATCAGCGTCTTTTCCATGTTGCGTTGCGACCGCAAAGCATCATGAGACTGTTAAACATGATAGATAATACCCTTTCTCAATAAACGCTTCTAAATACCAACATATTTCCTAAAACTTTGATAACTTATTAATGTCACATCACTGATTTCCAAATAGGTCGAWTCAAACCCGAGCCCAGGCTAGTCCTTCTTCGTTTTGTAGTAAGAAATCCGAAAAAGAGACTGGGACAAAGTTTGCGGTAAATCAAAGATCCGAAAATTTAATTAAGCGCAAATTAAATTATAATATACCGATATGATACGAGTATTTTTAAATCGAGGACAWATCTTGGAACATCGTGCTGATCTAGTTAAAASAAGGGTGTGGCGCCGGAYAGGAAGAGAGCTTTAGTTTCAAAATGTGTTTAATGCCTCGCTACTGAAACAATAATTATAACCAAATATAYTTTAAATAAAATTGTCGGATAATAAGTAAAGAGCTAAAACAGAAGAGGTCAAAATGTGACCAAGCGCTTCACTCAGTTTCAATACCAGTAGAAACTGCTGCTATTGTTCGATTTTTTTTTTAATGTTTTGATAAGTCTAAGACTATTGTATGTTGTCAATCTTTTTCGCGGCTCTCAATCTCTTCACATCATATTTGTCYTATTTTTAATTAAATCGGGCACAAATTATTAAAGGGTACACAATACGAACCCCCTAAATTTACTTTTAAACATCTAATTAATCCTATGTCATTATCGTCAACACCATATGAAAGTTTGTTTAATAAACTGTTATATATCCGCCTTCGACTGCCAWATATCTCCACCGCTTTATTAGAAAAGAAAGAAAATGTGTTATGTTATAATAACATCGTATAAATTTACACTCATTTCATTATAAACTCTTTTAAAGAAAGAGGAAAGCGTCTAATCTTGTTTAAACACTAAAAAAATAAATCTAAACACAGAAACATTGCCTTAGTTGARAACATTTGTCCATCAGTTTTTCACTATCATAATTATTGTACCAAGAACGCGGACTATACAGGAGCTAAACTAACAAATTAAGTTTGAAGGTGTTTATCCATTTGAACATCTTTCTTGTCAGCAGGTAACTCTTCAAGAAACATCTCTTAGTTTTGTCGCGCTGTCACATTCGTTTCATTGTCGCAAGGGATCATTGTCTGATCTGATTCGAGATGGCTTGCAACAGTCTTCTAGCCTAAGGGTCCCTTGCTATTATTTTCCCACGTAAGTGAATAAAAGACCGACCCAAACTCCTAAGAAAAAACCTAAACAACGAGCCAATACTAGAAACGTCACTTATTTAAACCAATGAATCGCTGAATAGTGGAATGGTTCTCTGTCAGTGTGAACCACGCCGCTTCTGGAGACACCTGCGCCTTTGGGCTAAAATGTATTGTTTTTGAAATTAATCGGGGAACATTTTGAGACAATAGTCAATGACAGAACGGTTTCTTTCCCACGATCATTGATTAGCTATAGAATAGATGGTAGAGTACCTTGAAGTTATGCTTGCAAAAAGGAAAKAAAACTKKCCATCCCAGATGAGAAAAAGTTCATGCAATCCTTGCCTAAGACTCGAGCTACCCARTCTAATAAASTCTACCTGTGAGTGCACCAATGAAAAGTCRCACTAAAAGGTTTCCATTTCAGAAGACGCTTAGTTAGTGTGAAACTGTGGTTTGGTTTTAGCTATAAGCCTTACCGAGTAGCTAAGTGAAGGTGAAATGGCTTTACTATGCGGTTCCAACTTTGACAGCTTAAACATGTTCAGTTCGGACTTTTCATCAACAATAAAAGGGATTCTATTTGACATAGCTCTAGTTTTTTGGGTAGAGAAAATTATATAAAAAGATACAACTGTCAAAGTAAAGAACTGAACATTAATCAATACAATTATTCTAATCACGCAAAGCCCATCTGTTGTGTGGCAAGGCCTCCAAGAGCCTCATTTCATGCGAAAGAATTTGACTCATTATTGGGCTATTAAATTTAACGTGCAAACCGTTTTTTTATGAGTTCTGAACACAGGACTTTTTCAAGTGCTTTTATGCCATCAATCACTGATGATATGTCGAGTAAGGTATTTAGAATCATCAATTTTATTAACTGTARAGGAATATTGTACCYAGGATTAAAGGTCCCGATGACACAATGATATTCCACTGTGTTTGTGGTAACTAAAGACGCCTAACATCGAAGACACTGATGAACAAAACGACCCTTATATCTTTGTGGGAGGCAACACATACAAATAAATTCTACAAAAAAACAATTTGTAAAATATCTTTAATCTTGAATAAGATGTGTTCATGSACGTAATGAAGTGATAATATATAGGCAATTGAACGATCTCAATCTTTAACGACGCGTTTTGTAGGCGTTTGAAAAACKSTCCAGAAGCCACTAAACAACAAATTGACTGCACGAAAAATTCCACCTTATGAATAATTGAAAGAGAATTGTAAAACAGCTTTGTTTTGCTGTCTTTAATTTGGACGTCTTTTAAACCGTATTTTATAAAACAAAGTCAATTGTTATGAACGATAATTAGCTTTACCCTCGTGTAGGGACGTACCGCCAGCACAGTAGAATAGAACACTCGCAAAACGACAGTTAGAAAACCACTTTAGCTGGTAATAGCTCGCGCGTAGAATACGAACACAATTTCCACCCTTTCTTTCAAAATTAATTTGGTTTTGGTACCAAAAACATGTTAATTCAAGTTAAACGGATAAATAGTGCTCATTTTAAAAAGTTTATTGCTTAAAGTTTGTAAAGACTCACGGTTAAAGGAAACATTTTGTGTCCAAAGGACGGGTTTTGACTAAAGTTATAAAAACAGCGAGGCGCGTGAAGGAATTTTACAGGAAAATGGACGAGCAAACAGGTACCAGTTTCAGTATTGGAATGCCAGTYGGCCATCTTTAATGAATAAAGAAACCAGATATAAAAAGAATGAAAACTGAATCCGTGATCTGGATTTGTCATTGAATACATTTTATATAAAATAACTACAACAGTAATTCTAGAGCTCACTATAAACTTACTATTCAGGATTATCAGTTGCGAGCTGCTGATTTTAAGTCCTAAAACATTTTAGATTTCGAGCTTCTTTTGTCGGGGTATAGTCAAGAATCTTTGTAAATAGCCTGAAAAGTCCATGGTTAGGCTGTTATAGAAGGTATAAACTTACCACASTGTTCTATTAATTATGAGAAAAGACCAAGAAAAGTTTAAACATATAATTTCCTCGCTGGAATGTAATAAACATAAAGCGTGTTTTTCAACAACATACGATTTGGCCATGGTTGTGTTAATTAAAGGTCCATTGATTTTAGAACAGTTGGTTTTGCTCGTTAAATAGTAATAACTTGCGTGGACGTTTTAGTCTAACGCTATTAGAATTCCTAATTGATTTTATTTGTTTGTTAAATTGCACGCGGCACAATAGCACACAGCAAAAAAAGCACCCAAATCCTGAACTTTTAAAACTGCCATTTTGGAAGCAAAAGATCGAAAGATCGCTTTTCGATCTTTAAGTTCTTATAAGGTGGAAACTTAGAAAGTCTTTAATATTTTTGTAAAGATACATCCCGCGAAGACTAAACGAGATGGGCTTTGTTCCGTGCTACTGGTGGAATCTACCTTCCTTTGTACGTAATTTCAATGGACTTTGCTCTTTTCTCTGTAATAACACATCGAATAATTACCCCTTTTCTAAAGTAATTGTCGCAAAACAATATAAGTTTTATAATGACTTATAACGATCTCGGATCTTTTGGGRGTATGAGTTGGCCTGTTCGATATCAGAAAGACTGTTTTCGAGGCGGATAAAGAAGACATAACGTCGCATCACGGCAGACAGACGACGCGTTAAGTGGCGTGTTTTATGTAACAAAGTCAGATAGCACGACGCGTTTATAGGAATGCCATTACCATTCAAATGTACACGTGTGGTTCGAATAGTTCGTTAGCGCGCCAAACTTTATTTCAATAAAACCCGCCAAAACCGCGATGAGCTTGCGTCACATGTGTGGACACGTGGTTCCACACGATTTTTGCCGCCAAAACTATTGACAACGTTGCGTGCTGAATTAAGCTTGATTGGCACTCGCTCGCCATTGTTTGTTGATAGACACACGCGCCTCGCGCAACGTCTCACTGCTTGGCTATTCTTTAGACGATGATCTGACCAACGTTCCATCGCATGCAAGACAAAAGAATAGTTTGGAACAGGCTCAATCTTGTTTATACATCGTGCGATACTTTTCAAACTGACTTTTAACGGCAATCAAGTCAATCAGTCAGGTGAAACGCTTTTATATACAATCTAGATAGCTTAAGAAATT